TATATATATATATACACCTGAGCATTCGCTATACCGTTACGAGAAAGCATCCAGGCAAGTTCCTCCTGCGTAATCGCGCTCATCACACTCGTCGTTTCCCTCGGTGGGAAGGACAGATGCTTGAAAAAGCAAATGACAGTCTGGAGTGACGTAATGACAATGAGAATCCGCCTCCGAGGCACCGGAAGTAGCTGCTATAAGGACCAGGAGACACCAACTGATGCTATACTTAGCCCTGCTAATGCCTCTTTTCTGTATGATGCGATTCACAGAACGAGAACACATGTAATTTTTGGAATTTTTCAAAATAACTCATACAAGGTATCACCGATAGCCAAGTAAATGTTGCGTCACTAAATATTTCGTACAGAGTAACCTCATTTTATGTTTTGTAGGTTAGAAAATTCCTTGTGAAAAAATTGGACTCTGCATTCTTATACTGTTATGGCTCTAGTAAATTACGTAAGAGAATTAATTCGCACGTGTTACAGAGAGCAAAAGTATACGCGGGTTTGTAAGACGATTTCATATGAATGGGAAGTCCTAGAATTTTCCCATGATGGCGGAGACCCCGTGTGGAGACACTGGAGGACGTTACAGGTCGACAAATCGAAACAATAGCGCCGGGGATTTCACAGTTAAACAAATCTACGGCTAATAAGCGGTTGATGCATGGTGGCGAGTTGGAGGGGGTCCAATACATAAAAATAAGATAAATTTTACGCTCGGCTGGTGATGAATGGCGGGATGAATTATTGAATAGTTAAACACACAGCGCCGTACCGGCCCGGCTGGACCCCAGCATCCGAACGTGGTTGAGATACATCGCCAAGGCATCGTCGATTCAGGGCCGCCAGTATCACAATGAATTTTGAAATTCCGTCATGAAAATGTCTACCACGATGTGTACCACGACAGTATGGTAAAAAAAAAATTAATTATAAATAATTTCAACAATACAAAATTGGACTTACCCATGAATACAAACGAATAAAAATCCCATGCTATTTACATATGAAAATCATCCTCAGACTGACAGATACTCAGACATTAAAAAAGGAAGTCGAGTGAATGTTGACAAGGAAGAAGAATAAGAACAATGAAAATCGGCATAGCAGTATGACAAAGGAGTGCGTGTCGCAATTGACGCGAGGTAAAAGGCTCGTTCACAAGTGTTCGAGCTCGAAAGCGATGAGCGAACTCGTAAACAAGACGGACGAAAGAAGCGCCTAATTTTTTGGCTGCCAGTAAAATCGGCCTTCTCACAGTCGGTTGCATCCGAACGAGTTCACGTACACGAGGTTCACTCGTTCACTCGCGCTGGTGCGTTCAGCGTTCACTCAAACACAACGTGGCTCAAACGGGCGCTCGGTCGCTCATTGGTCGTTAGGTTGGTACAAGTCGTCCGTTCCTGCGGCATAAATTCACCTGCACGTTTCACTTCGTTATGGCTCTATTCACAAACGCCGTAACCCTTGGAACTCCTTCCACAGCACGGGCGGTTCCGCGGAAAGACGTAAAGACGTCCCCATCCTGACATGAATATTCCGGCGTAGTTTGGATCCAAATGATGAATTACAAAGGCGATACAATTTTATTGAATGTGCCTTCTGGACGCACCTCGAGTTCAACATGATTTCATTCGATCGAATGGAGCAATAGACACGCTTCGATAGTCCCAAGCATTCTTCGAGTCTAATCGGTAGTTCTGATTGCCGATAAATGTTCTAACGATATTACCTACAAATGGTATAATTGAATCGTAAAGGATCATTCAAGAAACGTGAGTCTATAGTAATGGCGGTAATTGCCTCTGCGACATAGGACCATAGTGATAATCAGGTACCAGGTGTTGGATCCGTTCGGTGCAGCTAGTTTTGGGACTTCTGAACGATCCTTAATCTGGGAACGATGGTGGCGAATTGCCTTTATGGATTTAATGTGTGGAATCTAAAATGGCACTCTATGCAAGTATATCGTAGAGAAGAGGACCGTCTAATGTACATTTTGCGACATCATACGTGTTCAGTAAATTGGCGAAACAAGTTAACGAAGGAGTTAAGCTTTACCGGATCGTATCATTATTTTGGCGTATCTCGTCCATTTACTCTGGCGCTCCTGAGGCAGTATCAGAAATTGAGTAAGTGGTACGGAGGCTGCAGAGATCCGAGTACGGTCTTCGTCTGGTCGAATGAAGGAAAGGTCTCAGAAACAGGTTCATTACAAGGCTATAAACGTACGTTATAAGGCCATAAGGATGCTCGGCAATTACTTAAGAACTAATCAGCCCAAAGCCAGGACGACGGCCGCTATCCATCAAGAGACCGTCGACCTCTTCGGCAAAGGTTCATTTAACTATCCTTTTGTATACTAAAATATATTTTTCGAAGAAATCGTAGGGATCGAAATTTACCAAGGCTTATTAAATTCGTAGTTACGTATAGCAAAGGGAAGTACCGTGTGTCGTTACAGTCATTAAATTCGAATAAAATATAACCTATTAAAAGCGTAAATCTAGATAGTCCCATGCATAGACGTCCAAGATAGATTCAAAGGGCGTCCGAGGAGCCATATCAAGATACTTCAGGTAAAACTGACCAAAAAAAAAGATAAATTAAAGATAAACAGAAAATACGCTCGAGCGATTTCAAATCCCCCTTATCCTTCTGCTCTATTTTTTAAGTTCAAACGCCTTTTAACGTCGAGCAGAGAGGCTATCGCTAAAATATACCGAAACGTCAAGGCGCATCTTCAAGCCTCGCGTCTCGTGGGCTGTCACCCGTTTAAGGGTGGCCGAGCAGAGGAATCGCAGAAAGGGAATATTTAAGACGAAGAGAAGAAGCGAAAGAGTGAAGGAAGACGGGGCTGACAGTCAAGAGTCAAGACTGACTAAAGTATAATCAGGTTCGACTGAGTCCGCAGTCGAGTGTAATAACAGTAATCCCTCCCTTCGCCAGCAATTTGGCTGTTCGCTCAAAAACTCCAAATTATAGAAGCTGCTGTCATTAGCCGAGAGCCACGTCGCGGCGCGTTCCCCGAACCTTCGTAAACTTTGAGGAAACTCGAGCTGCCAGTGGGCAACGCGTCCTGGTAAACTCAGTCATTGTCATACGTGCTTAAACTTTACTGCCAATGGACGTATCGGCACCGCCAGTACACAATAGATAACAGTGATTTTGTGTGGCATCCGAACGATTTACTTTGCGTTAAACTGTAAGGGCTCCAGAATTCTTGGTGCTCTTGCTGACTATCTCTGGATACCGTATGGACCTAGGTGAGTATAGGTACCAGGCGATACGGCCGATCCAACCGAGCAGGGATCCAACCAGACGTGAACCCTGAGGGCATCCTATCCCCAAGATATACCGCGTTTCAAAACAAACTCACCGAGCTTGCCGAACGTTCCACCTAAGATAGATCTTTCCGAAAGATCTCTTAGCTCCGTTGCAAAGTCCTGTAGCTCTTGGCAGATTTCCTCTGTCATATAAAGTGGCTGTACGTATACGTACTTGTATCCTTCATATTCTCATCTGTAATATCGAACGATGCTGCACGCTACCGGTATTGAGCATTGCCATGGTAAAGAGCCAAGGTGGAATTCAGATAGGCAATCTCTTTAGACTTTACTTTTCCGCGTCTTGGCAATCAGCCTCGCACTCCGTCAATGTCAGCTTAGCACCGGCCACCCCGTATCTTTCTCTTCGTACCCTCGCTCAACCCCATCGCGTTACGATCCACACACGAACAAGAGAGAAAACCACTTGCTGCACGCAAGAATGTCGCCAGGGGATTAAGGACTTACTCGATGGGTGCAGATTGCTTTAATTTCTCAAAACCAGGAACGCCTACTTCTCTTTAAACAAGTGAATCTTGCATCCATTGTAGAATCATTTTCAAGATACCGTTTATACTCTCCCCGTCTGTAAACTCATGGGAACTCGGATTAAGAAGGTACCATTTTTCTGTGTGAGACACTGTTACAGGCTATACTTGTGATAAAAAGTTCCTACTCTTATTGTGTAACACGGATCACTTTCCTAAGTACGGACAGGAGATCAAATTTTCTCAGGTCATTTTAAGTAATTGCTATCAATTTATTATTTTAATCCCGCGAAGGAGGCATGCGCGACACGCCATGCGTTTACGCCTGATTTTCCGTGCTCGTAACGCAATTTGCTCGTAAATAATAAATCCGTAGGCCGTATCGGTCGTTACGCACAATGAGAATTTTTATAGCTTCTATAGTTAGTAGCAAGAGACATCGGTAGTCTAGTCACTGTCAGTGCTTTGCAAAGATCAATTTGTAATGTGTAATGTCACTGTAGTTACCCCGAGTCCACTGGATCATCAATATAATAATAGTCACGTACGAGTTATGAAGATCCATCATCGGCACACGAGTAAACAGTAGAAAACTTCAAAAATATTACATTTCAATGTATTATTATTCAAGAAGGAATTTAACACTGATGAGTCGAATAAGAAAGCTGATACCCTGCTTATCTACTTACGGAACGACAAACCAACAAAGGTTACTACTCTTACGCTAAAGCAAGCTTTACATACCTTGAATTATTTATACGTACAACCAGGTCATGTCAGTTCACAGTCTATTTGTACACTGGGAACATACTAGTTACCGTAATAACTTTTTGAGCCACCTTTCCCAATAATGTGACAGTCAGACCATCATTCGTCCTTCGAGAATGCGAATCTATAGGGCTTGTATTCACAGGAATTACGGAAACTAATATCTTTTTCATCTTCAAAATATAGCGAATAAATATAAATTTATAAGTGTCTCCAGATCTTCACGCTTGGCTATTCTACAAAATAGAATACCTTGTACGTAGACTAGAGTACCCAAAAGCGTATTCGCTTCATAAAGTTTAAATAAACGTAACAAGAATGACGTTTCGTTTGAATGAATTAACTGATGATTCGTTAATTCGATAGATTTCTCGAAATAATGAATCTAATAAGAAATGATGTCGACTAACCTTTTTCCATTGCGACGGCGCCGTTTGGTAGCGTAGACGGTACCGAGCTGGCTCATCGCAACGGGGTTGTTCGGTCCCGTCGCGGATGCCGGTGCTGGCGCCGAGGTCGGCGTCATCGCAGCTTCAACGACGGAGGGCTGGGGGTGAGAAGCGCTCAAGGTAAGCGTCGACCCAGGTGGATAACATGCTGCCGTGACATAATCCGTCGGCGTGAGCGATGTGGTTGGTGGTCCGCAGATTCCGACCACCCCCGGACCACCACCGACACCACCGACCACCCCCAGCCCTGAGGCAGTTCTGTCCAGCGCGTACACGGTGCAGACGGTCACACCCCTAGCTGCTTCCAAATCTTCCGCTACGTCATCGTCAACGAGCGTAATCAGTTGCTGGCTTCCTGCCGGTTGACGATGCAGCGATGACAGCTGCAACTTCGTGCTGGGCGACAGCCTCCGTCTTCTTCACGATCACGCCTTCCCGTATCCTTCCCTTCCTATTTATATTCTGTCTCTTCTTCGCCAAACGAAAATCACCGAGGTCGAAGATATCGCCTTGAGATCAATTCTGGAAGATGCGGACACTCGGCGAAGGTGATCCTCGAGGATCTGGTCTTCCCGACTGTATTCCGTGAATGCGATTTCGTATGCGTCCCGATGGAAGACTTCCCTATTCTTCCATGGAGCATAAGGACTCCCTGATTTGTTTTTTTTTTTTTCTTGAAAAGATTCCCTGCGTGGAGAGGCAAGGCAGATATTTCCCAGAGGATATTGGAAGACGTTCAGGATCCTCTGGAAGCAGCTAAACGTCCCGGTTGCTGGAGGAGACCCTCTGGGAATTCTTTAGGAATCCGCAGCATTGGAATTATTCCTTAGTGAGAAGTGACGTCGATTGATCCAGTAGTGGGGAAGCCTTGGTGAATCGAGAAATGCAGAAGAGACACATGAGCCAAGATTCAAAAACGTATATGAACACTTTGGATTAATAGTTCCCAGGATACTCTGGCTCCAATCACTGAGAAGGAGGAATGGAGGTACGTCATTGGTAAGACACACGGTGTCGAGTATTACTGTCAATCATGGGCAATGCCACGAAATCACTGTAATCACGGAAGAATTCACCCGCGGGACACACTTCGAGAACGAACGCGCATCCTTGTCGCGACTTCGAGCCTTGTCGACCCAGGTCTCCCTTCGTGTTACGACTTCGACGTAAAAGCAGAAACAACACAAGACGAACGTCTTATCTGCAAGCTCAGAGGCGAAAGCTCACAGTCACGTGTGTGCCGACAGCTTTGAGTCACGAATTATTCACTTATAATTCTTCTCGCATGAAACCTCATTCTCTGAATCTGTATCAGTGAATTTCACAAAAAAAAAATGACGATTCATAATCTATGGATGTTGACTTTTTATCCCTGTTACTCCTCCTATTCCTTTCTCTCTTCCACTCCCACCCTCCTAACCCTCTCTTTCAGATAGCTCTCCCGGTGTGTCACGCACGTTCACTCATTCACTCTCTTTCACTCTCCCTGTCTCTCTCTCTCTCTCTCTCTCCCCCCTTTCACTGTCCGTCCTTTCGGAGCTCACTCTCGCGTATCTCCTTTTGCAGAACCACTCGTGGATTCCACCAGATAGAGCGTCACGTGTCGCAGGTTTCCCGCCTTGGAGTTCTCCACTGCCACTTCTCTCAGCTCGCACAAGATCCTCACCCAGTACTGTCAAAGTGCTTATTTCACGTAAACTGCACGTATCGGTCGAGCACTCTCTGCCTTTCTATTGGTTAGCAATCACAAATGATCTCACAAACGACGAATAAATTGAGTAGCAGTACTCGAGCAACGTACAACTCGATTGAATCGGAACCGTATGACACTCCAAACGAAGTTGGTTCTCTGAACGCCGCGCGCAGTAGTATCCCAAGGTGACTCTCTTGGGAAGCAGCGATATTAAACGGCAGCAGGATGCCTCGCCTCGTGGTAGGCTACCTCCGCTGAGCCGGTTGTCGCGTCAGCGCGCGAACGGTACGGTGCTCGCTTCGTAGAAGCGTGTGGTGTACTGCCCTGCCGGGCGTAGCATAAGAGCATAGATCGGCGCAACGCCGCTGAAGAACGTGGTGGTGGGCCCGACCGAATACCCTCTACAGGCCGACGGAGAGGCACTGAGCCGGGAGGAACCCCCTCTTTCGGGACGCCCTGGAACCCCCCACTGACTGCGTAGCCCCGCCCCTCCCACTCATGCCTCGACCAATCACTCGGCCAGCATGGCGCTACCAGCGTAACCGCGGAACCGCGAAACCCTGATATCATCGACGCTCTCTCATCTACCTAGTCCCGCTATTCTCCGTACCCTACGAAGCCCTGCCCTGTCTTACTTCCCAGGACCTTGCACTTCTCGTAGCCGCTCCAGCCCTTTATTCACCCTCCTGTATACTTTGTGCAACCTCAGTCTCAGTTATTTACTTCATCAGCACGATACTCGTGCAGCAGTTGCTTGAGACAGTTTGACAAATCTCGGCGGAAGTTTATTTTTTTCAAAATTTTCATTTCCATCGACTCATCGATCACGTATACGATTGTCGCACAAGTGCATAATTGATCTTTAATGGTATCCGATGATTTATTATCTACAGGCAATGATGGATTCGACATGGCGAGTTCCGATCGTCGACCGTTCATTGAGACTTCGTGTCTTGGGGTCCGTTTGCACCTTGACAATCGCAGGTATTTATTTTCCCGTCACGTTTGCCTTATCTCAAGTTCTTTCGTGTGCGCTATCGGATTGCCAACACGAGCGATATCCTGCAGCAGCCAATATCACTGAATAATCTCGAACATAAAACGGAGTATTGGTTGGCTATTGGCTGGGTATTGGCAAGGACGGGAGGTACACCTTCGCAAGCACCTAATGCGTAGGCGACATGCAACTCCGCGGCGTTTTATCGACGATATTCAGGAATATTGGGGTCCCGTAATGGATTGTGTGCTACTGCCACACGGCTGGGATGCCTGTATTTATTGCGACCTCTTGCACGCCATGCACTCCGCAGTGATAATAACCGTTGAAATTGCCTCGTTTATCTTGGAAAATCGTGCGGGCATTCGATACGACGATTGCCGGACATCCGCGCATTCTCCACCGGTGCTTCTTCCGTCACCAGGGGTGTCATGATCTACGATCCTTGATCGCACAAAAGTCCCACCTATACCCACACAGTTCTTCATCCTTCAGTGCCCGATGCAAATAAGAAAGTTCCGTACCCTTTTGCGCGTGAATAATCGAGAAGACCCTGTACATCTCTTAATAACGCGGCTATTACACACCTTTTGTACCGAATTCCCATTCGCGTTAAGAACTCATTTCACGCATGCACTGCACTCAGGATGTGGACGCTACCGTTGCAGGAGGCTTCACACGCGATAACCTGCAAGAGCCCTTCTCTCTGGGTCACGCGAATTCGGACCTAAACCCAGTGCTCGCTTCAGTCCCAACACGACATCACACTGAGTTCCTCCTCTTGTACTTTGACTTCATTCGGCTCACCTTGACTCTTTCACGAAATTCCTTCAAATCTTTTTAATACTGAACTCTCTCAGGACCCACGTGAATGGAGTGCCTGTATCAACGTGGCTGTAATGCCTTTGGCCAGTCTTACGTTCCTCTTCTCTTTGATCCCTTAGAGCTGGTATATGCTCGGTGCAAAATGCCTGTCAATTCAATTCATTTTATTTTTTCCTATATCACTGGTTCGCTATGTCTTGTCGCTGATGATGATGATGCATTATCAGTTTAATTGTAAAATTGTCGTAGGAATGCTAGTCAACAGTTCGAGAACTAACGAGAAACCATCGTCAGTTTTCATTCATCAACCGTAACCTCGTTCCCTCTCATTTTCTCGAATTATCCAGCCAATTCAGTTGTTCGCGATGCCAGGCATTTTATTTGCGCCAGGAGTTTGCATTACGGTGTGCATATTTACTCGTTGCGCACCGGATACGAGACTTTCGTCAAGTATCATTAGAAGAATGTGGCAGCGATCTCGAATGTAGCACGAGGAGAGCGAATTTCCAGGTTATGTAATTTATCGAGATAGACTTTTGCGCTATTTATATATAATTTTAGCATTTTATAAGAAATAATTTTTACGCAATGGTAGGGAAAAATTATTTTGATACCTTTTTTTATTTCATTACAGGACGTCACAGATACTGTAGATTATTCCATAGAAATGAAAAGAATTTATATCGTGAATTGTTCATCCCCATTATTATACCGTCTATTCGGCATCATTTTTATTATTTTTTTTTATATCTCACATGCGTTTTCTCACTACCCGCTTCTTCGTCTCTGAAACGAATTCGCAATCGTCCAAGCGGATACTTAAGTGGCCGCGCGGTTTCTCGCCTGAGCTGCATATTCATGGAGACATTACCATAAAACGGCAAATACGATGGGATCGGTCGAAGCTACTGGATTTTCTTGATCCGCATTTCCACCAGCTCAGCGGCCTCGTAATAATGACCATCGCGCGTCTCGCGAACGAACAAACTCCAATGGATGTGCTAATTCGTATTTTGAATATACAAATAATGGCATGTATAATTGAATATACACAAGTGAAAAAAATCGTAAGAAATTCCATACATTATGATATGAAGATGACGAAGAAGTCTTGGAAACAAGGGTGAGTGGAGAGGAAAAATGTATTAAGTGTATCATGAGGTGCGTGTAGGTTTACAGGTGTTCGCAGTGATAGGTGAACGGTGAACGATGTAAATAAGAAGTGGAAAGGGGTTAAGTCAACACGCATCGCGTACACGCGCACGCAACAATGAGGCGTTGAGCTGGTCAGTGTCGATTGGCGCCCACGCGCACGCATATACACGTAAGTACGTATTATAATTCGTTAAGCGTGAAGGACGATACGAAATTTATAAATTGACTATCGATCCTGTAGAAATATTATTAGATGTTTAGTAGGCTGTGACTGACTCGTTAATACGACTGAAGCGCGATCACGTAAATTCAGAACGAATCGCGTGTTGACACGAGAGTCATCGAATATTTCTTTGAAACTTGTACAGAATTAGAATTAGCTGATACAGCAAGAAACCACCGCTATGTGACAGAGGGACCATATAGTATGTATGGATTTTACAAGAGAAGTTATGGCAGATAGATATGCGTGCTGTATATGGTAATACCAATATTTACAGCCGAATTATAGCTTTGTTAATAAACGTTAAATCAATGCGAGATTACTATTTTTGTTAATAATATATTTTTAATTGGCAATTTTGGGAAGGAATTATAAGTTATAAATTTAGAAAATCTGTTTATTCAATTTTTCAATCTTACGTTCAAAGGACTTCGTGCACGTCGTTTAGATTGAGCGAAACTACTTGATAAAGTAAAACCAGTGAAAGGTAGGCTTTCGCCATCTACCGGCTTCTCTGGTCACTACGATTCACCTGGACATGTGAAATGCCTGATTACCTACCGATAGCTAGACCGTAGTTCTATACTTGAAAATACATGTATCCATCTTGACGTTTCAAAATGTTCTAATGAAAATAAGTAATTTCATTCGTGAAGTATAATAAACCCGAATAATCGTTTGGTCAATGGTAGAATAAACGTGGAATGCAGTTTAAATATGTACTATCGATTATTTCGAATCACGAATATTATTCGAAATGAAAAGAAATATTGGAAAAAATTTTACAAACGTTTATAAAATTAACATACGATTTTTCTATTATGAGATAGACTTTTTGATCGAATAAGGAAAAAATCCCACAAATCTTTAGAATGCACTCGTAGACTCACGTAGTACATTTTTACCTACGGTCATTTTGTGCAATAGAAATAGCAAACTGTAGAATAATGGGTAGAGCATAACAAAAGCACAGCTAACAATGCAAAAATGAGGCTTAATTAGATAAATCATTGTTTTGAAATGTAAACCAGCAATCAAGGCTGCAACTAGTGCCGCAACTGATGCAACGATACCGCCGGTGCACCAGCGACACAACGCAGTGTTTATAATTGCGTGCTATGAATAATTACTTTCATACTGGCTGGCAGGGGTAGCCAACTACCCAGTCAATATAATACTGATAATAATAAATATACCAAAGAATTTCCCTCCATCCGCCAGACTTGCCTATACCCTGTCTGCCATAATCATGAGCCGTATCACTTATAAGACTATACTCCATTATTGCTAATATCCTTATCCAAAAAATCTATACAGAGTGCAGTAAATACTTCATGGAATCAACCATGTGGCCTGATTGATATCAGCTGTATGAAAAAATTCGAAAAATCTATTCACAGAACTGCACGCAGCAATGCATCCACATACCCCATGACCAAGGTAAAAAAAAGAATATCTTGATCGATATTCAGCCTGTAAGTGCAGACACGTTATGTATACAGGTATATTGATATATTAATGGAGACATAATTTCCGTTCGTATATCTGCGGTTTCAAGTGATCGATATGTAATGACGTAACATAACGAACCAATAAGCATTTTTAACGTGGATTATTCATGGCTTGACTACCACTGTACTGTTAATAAAAAGCCTGCTGTACACGGACGTCACTCCGGAACTACGTTGTATGCATTCCTATATTATTATTTATTATTCGTTTTTCATTCACGTTGAATATTCTGATGTGGATGCATCGTGTGTTGAGGTGACTCTTCACTCCCCATTGTATCCATCGTAACCACTCATTTCTGCTACTGTATGGTAACAGCGCTGTTTTCTCTAGGATATGATTTATTGTGTGTATGGTGAACCATTGATTTCGACAAATTTTATAAAGCTACGTTCTCTTCTGAAATTAGTGACAATTCGTTCCACTTGTACATTTATTGAATTCGAAGACTTTTGTTTCAATTGAAATTCTTTGTTTCATAGTAATTGCATGGTTAAATTGTAAGTGTTCTTGTGTCATGGTAATACGCTATAACAACCCTTATGGTTTTCCGACAGGAGGAAATCGAGAAATCACCAAAGGGAAATCATTGAAAATGGGAATTAGTCCATGAACCGTGGTGATATTGTGCAAAGGTCACGTGTCAGTGCTCATTGTCCAAATTTGAAGGAACTCCGGAAGC